GAAAATAAAACTATAGGCTTCATTTATTTTAACTATTTAAATTCATATATACAAGATATTTTATAAAAAAATATAAATGGAATTAAGTCAAATTTAGATTTGAATCATAAAACTAAAGTAAAACAAATCATATTTTATTTATAAAATCTAGTTGCATAATTATTATTCAAATTAGAGTTTAAATCATGAAATTCCAAAAATAGTGACATGATAAACATTGTTACCAATGCGTAGTTTATGTTATTACGAATCTAACGCAACTTGAATGGGTTAAAACGAAGTTGAAACGTAGAAGATATGAATTAAACAAGATTTCCTTTAATAAAATAATAGATTAAATCTAACCTTGAATTTTAAAAGTTGAAAACATATCTATCAGTAATATGAACATGTAGATTATGAAATTACGAATCTAACGCAAGTTGAACGGGTCAAATCGGAGTTAAAATGACAAAGTTATAGCCTAAATAAATCTAGTGGCAAAACTGTAAATAGCTGAAAACGTATTTTGGACCTAAACCGAAGAAACTACGTTTTCCAAAGAAGAAAACGTGATCTATGATTACACTTTGGACCGCGGGTTTGAAAACAAAAAACTAGAGGGGCTCTTTAGCAAGATGGCATGCGAAGGGGTATGGGATGATCTGGACCGCTGGATCGGAGATGGACGGCTCGGATAAGATCGAGAAGGAAGAGGGAGGAGGCTGCCGGACGGAATAGTAAGGCCAGCGCGGTGGAAGCCATGGCCGGTGACGGAGCTTGTCGGCGAAGCTCGATTTCGGCCCTAGAGGCCACGAATCAGCTCGGGAAAAACACCGGGGTGCGTAGCTTGAGCTTGCAATCATGATAGGGGTAGTGGTTGAAGCAGGGGATAGACGGTGACAGCGGCACACGCTAGCTTGCGGCTCGGGAACTCCGGCGATGGTGGGCGAACAGAGAAGGAAGAAGAGAGGGCAAAAGCAAAGCACCGGAGCTTCATTACCTCACGACAAAGACTGGATGACGGCTCTGATCAACGATGGGGCATGGCAGCGGTGGAGTCGCATGCGGCGGTGGCGAGCTAGGGTTGCGGCGTGTGACTGCGGGCGCTCGGGCGATGGGGCGGCTTGCGATCGGGTTGAGGGAGGGCGGTGCGGCTCGGCTTATATGGGGCCAAAGGGCGTGGGGCGCACGGCAAGAAGGAGACGACGCGGCTTGGGGCTCTCGGCAGCGTCCGACTCAAATAGAGTCCTAGTCGGACCCGAGGTAGGAGAAAGCGCTGATGCGCGACTAGGCGGACGGCAATGGCGGCGACACTGGAGCTCAGGATGGAAGCGGCGGGCACGGGGCATCCGGTATTTAAGGCCATGGAGCCTTGGGAGGCACAACAAAAAGAGGGAAGCGTGGCCGCAGTGGAGTCGGAGCGGCGGCGGCGGTTGTATCCGGGTCGGGCACAAGCGCGAGGTGGGAGACGGTGACCCTGACAGGTGAGGCCCGGCTGTCAGTCGGGAGAAAAGAGAGAAAAGGCGCGGGCGCAACTGGGTGTTGGGCCGCGGAAAGGGAAAACAGGCCGCACAGACTCAGAAGCAGAGCGGGCCGCGGGCGCGAGGTCGGAAAAGCAGGCCACGCGGGTCGAAGAGTAGGCCGCGTGGAGGCAGTCGGAAGAACAGGCCGCGGGCGCGGGGAGGCAGTCGAACCTAGGGCGAAAGCAGGGAAGGAGAATGGAAAATACTTTTCTTTTTCTTTTCTAATTTCCAAACAACTTTTAAATGTCAATTCAAATCAATTTGAAATCTGATTTCAAACCACACAATACAAAATAATATGCAGTAGCATGAATGCATAAACATGTATGTAGACCTATATTTGATTTTATTTTTAACAAAATTATTATTTTTCTAAATTCAAATGCCCACGAAAATGCATAATAAATCAAATTATCTTATTTTAAAATATTGCAAATTTTAGGGTGTTACAAATATTTAGCTTAGGCAATACCTAGCAGCTCATCGTGTAAGATAAATCAGACGACAGCTCATGAGGCATAGGATTTATACTAGTTCAGGTACGTGGTTCCCCAATCTAGTTGGGGGTGATGCTGCTTCTCTGTATTCGTATGCTCGGTTACAGGTGTTGCTGCTCCTCCTAGCTATGTGCTAGAATGATGTGGATGGGATCCCGATTGTGAGGTCCCTGTGTAGGGGGGTAGGGTTACAGTAGGAGCGATCGACTAATAGATTGGATTCCTAATTCGTTATACAGGATGCACAATAGATTGATTTCTTCCTATCGTCTAGATAGGACTCTAGATATCCTCGTTGTATCTTGGCTTCCAAGCTAGTGGATTCGCCTTTCCTTCTTCTTGGGCTCCGTGTTGTCGTTAGCTTAGAAGACAAGCATGGGCCGAGTATATGGACAAGGATACCCTAGGCCCATATATCCCGTAGGATGTAAAACATTAGGCGCCTAAAGGTCCTGACCATTATGGACTCTAGATCTCAGGCCATCTTGTTTTTTAGTGATCAAGTTGATTGCAATTTAGCAATGAATTGCTTTGCCACAGAATGTTTGTATCAAATTGTAAAATGACAGCACACACTGGCACCAAAGATTAATTTGTTAGGGTTATAAAAAATAATCTAAACTGTAATTATCGTGTGATTTTACCATTAACAAAATATGCTGATCAATTATTTTTGTTTGGTTCCTGATATTATTGGATAGAATGTTACAGATGGGTTCTGTGTATTGCGACTACGACTGTAATTTTTGATAGGTCCTGATTTCTTGAATGAAGGCAATATTTTAATATTTTGGCAGCTAAAAATAGATAAATGTGTCTGCTCTAGACAGCTAGCTATTCATATGTATGCATATGAAGTGATAAATATAATTTATTTCTTCAGCTTAATTTGGTATTTATTCACGATATGATAACGATGGGTGTGTTTGGTTGCATTTCTCAACAAGTCAGGCTAAAAAATAACCCCGTCCAAGTCAATGCAACTAGTCTTGTTTGGTTGTCACGTGTAGTATATTGGTGGTATGGGTACCTCTTCTTTGCTATGGTGATTTTTACTGCAATCACCTCTCTGGTTCCCATCGTAAGTCCATCACCCCCGTCTGCTCTGTTTGTCGTCACCGGTACTAGATCCATGTCTTTCCTAGGTATAGGATCATGTGCTCAAACGCTAGGCAAGGAACCACATCAAATCGAAATCCATCTGAGTGCCTTCTCAGTCATTGCATCGAACAACTTGAGTTCATCATTGATAACACCACTTCAAGCAGAGTAGGAGACATCAGTGAGCAGAATCGCCCCAATCCTTCAATCCTGCACACCGAGCAGCTGCCATAGGCCAGCCAGAGCCCACCTGCTGGCGTCACCGCTCGAAACAACTCCTGCCAACGGCATACGGGGGTTGCGCCAACATAGCAGAACAGATCCATGCTACAAATCTCTCTCCTTTCAGTTGACCGCTCGTCTCTCTTCGGCATAAACTACTTACCCTTCTTCTCTGGCATACACTGTAGCAGGTGCAAGAGCGCGGCATGTGGCAGTGGCGGCGGTGGTAACGGCTCAGCAATTAATCCCTATGGCGGCAGTAGCAGTGGTGCCGGCGCCGGAGAAGTAGATGAGGAGGACAAGGACAAAAGCACACAAGCGGCTACTCCCGCACACGCGTCGGAGGTAAGGCATGGTGTGGGTGCGCGATCGGGAGGCGAGTAGATTGATCCACGGAGGCTAGCGCAAGGCTGGCTCCCCGGAAACGACCGATCGTCTCGTTCTCACTAAGCCTGGCTAGTGGGTACCTTTTGCATTAGCTAAGCCTGGTTACAAGCGCCGAACAGGAGGTGCATTCGGAAAGCCTAGTTGTGCCTTAGCCACCTAACCAATTACACCCTATCTACTTCACGTTTACCTTGCCAAATCTATGGCAAATATTTTTGTCTAACTTTTGACATAGTTTGGTTGCCAAATCTTTGGCTTGGTAAATTTAGAAAATTAACCGAGCAGACCCTTAATGCAAACTATGTTATTTATTTTTTATACCTGCAATCTTCATATTCAGCATCATTAAATTTAGCTTGATTCTAGGCTTTGTAAATATAAATGAATGTTGTGTAGTAAACACACGATTGAAAATTATATGGTTGTGTTTGCGTGTGATATAACGGTCTCCTTGTGTTTCACTGTTATCATCTCTTTGTGTGGTTGTGTGCTATGTTGTTCACGTTGATGTATTACAGAGAGCAGCCACCAGGAAAAGGGCCTGTGGTCCAGTGGTTGGGTTGTCCAGTGAGACACTACCCAGTTGAAACCACAGGGTACACGCACGCGTGCCAGTTCAGTGGTACGCACCGGAAGTCAGAGAGGCTCCCAATCTCTTTCTTTACATGTATATGGACGCGCACGCGTGTGTGCGTGTGGTGTGAGTGTGAGTGTGGTGTGAGTGTGAGGATTGGGTACATCCAAGTTGTACCCAATCAAAAAAGAGAGCATCCCAAGCGCCATATATTCCTAATACAGTACCAACATAATATAGCCTATCAAACCATGTTTTTTCTCATTCATCAATTTGACATATATATATGCCCTACGTTTTCTATATGAATATCTATGTGCTCCTCTACTTATGGCTTAACGATGCTCATGTTGGTACAATGGAATGAGGCTTGCTGTCGAAAAATTGAGAGACACTTGCGATGTTATATGTGGTTTACCATTCCTTTCTATACTCATGTGTTGGTGCCCATGCATATCGGCAATTTCCTGACAATCGGCCATCAGAGAATCTATTCCTAATAACAATTTTTCGGCTCCTAATTAAGGATTTTAGCTGTCAGTAAATTTTTAGGCTAGCTCTTTGTAGTATGTAAATAAACACTAGAAGCAAGAATCTTTATTCATTCAACCCTCTCGATAGCGTACATAAAAAGGATGGGTAAATGTACATGCTACGCAATATATATAATATAAAATACCAATACTCAAGGGTAGCTAGCTCATCTAGATCTAGCTAGTACTTAGTGTAGAGCGTGATGTTGGTCCATCGTGACTCCATGCAGCTGGACTGGTCCTGGTGCTGTATGTACACCCCGAACTTGAAGTAGTAGGAGTCGCTGGGGATGACGCTGGCGCCGAACTTCCGGCGGCCGTCGACGTAGACGGCCACCGTGGAGGCGGCGACGTCGTGCACCACGTTCAGTCGGAACCAGAGGTCGTAGATGCCTGCCTCCACGGCGGCGCCATCGTAGAAGCGCAGGACGCCGTCGTAGACGTGCAGCATGAGCACCGTGGCGTGCGCCGCGCCCTCCTCGTTGTGGATCTGCATCACTGACACGCCCGAGGTCCCCGACGGCACGTACCCGTAGCCCTCGAACTACCACACTCCCGACGAGTAGTCGTGGCCCTGATGATCGTCGACCATGCGTCGAAGAGGATAAATTATATATATATATTAGTTTTGGAACGGCAGGAAATTCATCCGGATGGGAGCTTTATGCATGCTTGCATGCTTACACTGATCATCACTTCGGAGCGGGGGTTGGTGTGGGTGGCAGTGTTGAAGGGCTTGTCGTTCCGGTACACCCAGAACGTCCGGACACCGTTCCGGTACTGGAACCGCTGGCTCTTCGGCACGTTGTATGGGCTCTGCACCACGAAGTCGCTGTCGGAGAGCTCCACCTTCTCGAACCCGGCGGTGGGATCGTCGTTCCCGCCACGACCAGCCGCCGCGAGGGCATGCAGCAGGAACGTGCCTATGGCCACAAGGAGCACTAGTAGATGAAGCCATGATCCTGCTGTGATAGAAGCCATTATTATTGTAGTTTCCGATCTGCCGCAATTGTTGATTGAATCTCTAGCAGCAAGCTCTAGTGCTCTACTCCAAGGTGGCTTGGTGTAGATCGATGTGGTTGTGGAAGACGGTCGAGCTAGCTAGGTTTAAATTGCAGACTTGCAGTCGGTCCGTTATATAGCTTCAGCCAGCTGTGTGTGTGGATGCAGCATGGAGGCAGCTCGTGTTCACTTTGTCTGACGTGCACTCGGATACATCCATGATACGTTCCAAATACGTACGTAGTAGCCCAGCCATGCGATTATTGGACATGCATGCAGTCGTTTTCTTCTGCGCGTGCTCCCTTGGACTATCTAGGGGTTTCATTTCATATTCAGAGAACAAGAGTGGAAAGGGGGCTAGACAAGCAGCCTTGAAAGCCATGGTAACAGGGGTTGTTCACAGTGGCGGAGCCAGAAATTTTAGGGAGCCTAGGCGAGACACAATGTAATACTAACGACCCGTTTGGCAGGACTCTGACTCCTCATGTAGAGTAGTTTTTTTAAGCTAAAGTCGTTTTAGAAAATATTTGGGAAAAAACAGCTCCAGTGATAAATCTGTAATAATTTGTATAAGATTTGTGACGAGGAACCGAGAGAAGCTTTATTTTCGCGGCTCCGATTTATCTATAAAAAAATGGCTCCAACTCCTCCGCCTACTTGCAAGGAGCCATTTTTAGATGACCATTTAGCATGGCTCCTTACAAGGATCCACGAGAAGCCGGAGCTGGGAGTCTAACACATAATGTAAGCATTGTATATGAAAACAAAATTAGATAACCACAATGATTTTAAGCTAATCCATCTCCCTAGTACAGCTCCTGGCTAGTGTGGTGGGTCCTAACGTCTACTACTAACTACTGCTTTCAGAGAGCTCCGCAGAGTAGCATAAAGTTTGTACTAAACTTGTGGACCAATTAGCAAAGCAATCTACATTAAAAAAAACAACAAGAAGAAGTAGAAGCAAATCTGCTTCATGTGCACCCAGCTCCGGGCCTTGGCTCCGCCGGTGGTTGTTCATGCCGATCGATGCCAGCGATAGTTGGCGATGGCGTACGTCGACGTCGTTGCACGCCGTGCTAAAACATTCCTACATTGTGTTTTCCACATCTTATGGAACAAAGGATGCATATAACCCTCCCTAATTACTAATCATTTCATATTCAGAGAACAAGAGTGGAAAGGGGGCAAGCAGCCTTGAAAGCCACCGAATTGGAAATTATACCTTCCTCAATCGGTTTCTTAACATTATTAATAAGTAAATTATCTTTCTCAATCGGTCTCTTAATATTACTAGCAAGAATATCACTAATAGATGTAGCAATTGAAAGAATATGACATGATTGAAATTTTGGTAAAATATTTATGCTTTGTACCTTGTTGATTATGTTGGAGAAGTGTATGTCCTTAATTTGATTGACGTTGCTCTTCATCTCCAGAAAACAACCAATATTAACATGTTCTGTAAAAGACTTAGAATCTGTAGCAAGAACGTCATCAACAACAGGGGCCGAATCCTCCGGAGACTCATCGGTGGCTTCTGAAACCAGAGAAACCGGCTTGACCGGTTTTTCACAGTGTGGTCGGCCAGGGAAACCAGCCTGGCCGGTTTAGCAGCATCAGCCAGGGAGATGAACCGACCAAGCCAGTTCCAAAACCGGTCCAGCCGGTTTCGTTTGTGCAATCGGCTGTCTTTCCTTTATTTTTGCTTGTAGGCGCTCTTGATCCTCATCATCTTGATATGCTTTATCAGACGAATCTTGTTCGGCTATAATTTGAGGTCCATCGATGATGCGATAGTCACTAAATAAATGTACAACCCCTTTAGATCCTGAAAAATCAAGTCTAGCTAATTTCTTACGCTTCCCATGTTTTGCCACAACTAGACTTGTTTCTTGAGATGAATTTGATTCGGAATGGATATTGTTTTGTTTGGTTTTGTCAGCCGAACACTCGCTTATATCCGAATCAACCTTTTCTTTGCCACTTGTGTCAGCCAACAATGTTTTTTCTCTTTGCATAACTATGACCATAACCTCATTAGCATCAAAATGCTTTTCACCTTCTTGATGCTTCTCAAAAATGTGACGTTGAAATTCATTTGTCCAAAAAATAAAAGCTATGTATGTTACACTAAGAGCAAACTGCCACTCAATGCTTCCAGGTTCACATGGCAACAAAATATCATTATTAGTGATTTTCCATAGTTCACTAATATGGCCATGGTCAAGCTAAAATCATATCACGAGGAACCCCTGGAAACTCTGCTACTACATCTTCATTGATTCGGCTATAGTTATCATATGAAGCCAAATCATGAGAATCAGTGCTAGCATGCCTTAATGAATTTGCATTGATTCAGCTATAGTTTTTAGTAACATAGGAAGCCGAATCATGAGTTTTAGCACTATAGCATGTCTTTCTGAATTTTCATTGATTTTGCCATAGTTATTAGCAACATATGAAGCCGAATCACGAGCATTAGCACTTGAATGCCTTGCTGAAATTTCATTAATTCGGCCATAGTTACTAGAAATATATGAGGTTGAATTATGAGCACTAGCATTTGCATATGATGCTGAATTTGTAGGTAGAACATTTGTTCTATTAGCATATCGTGCATCATATAAGAATTGAGAGTAATTGACTGAACAACTAGCATCACCATGGCCAATTCTCTCATTTATCGACATGTCTTGTGGCGGAACCACATATTGTGAACTTATAGCCGATGAATAAGGATATGCATGTTGTATGTTGCTAGTAGCATTAAAACCCAAAGAATTCATAGTTGACATCGGCTCTTGAACATGATATCCATAAGCATTAGTCGATGCAACATATATACTATTATTATGACTAGCAACACCAACATGAGAATATATAGGACTTGCAAAATAACTATTAGAACCATAAGATGCATTTGAAAGTTGTACCTTGATGTATTTGTAGTAGTATATTGTGATGCAACACCTTGGTACTCCATGATCTAGAGATTGATCACCTTGCTGAAATTTCAATGACAAGTGCAACATGTTGCCAAACTGCAAGCAAGATCACAAGGGGTCAAAACTAGATGCAATCGGCCTTTTTGGGCCAGATGCAACTGCAATAGCGAGCACAAGAAGATAGATCAATGAAGAGTAGGGCTAGGGCAAAGTGATTCGGCTACAAAGTAGAGTCGAAGAAATTCTTCCCTAGCAGAGTTGTCAAAAAGTAGGTTGACGCAGAATTGGATCACACACCAGCTAGGGCTAGATCGCCCGAGCCGCCACAGGCCAAAGAACGCAGCGAAGATATCACACTTACGTGGTGAAGCGTGGAGAGGTTTACGAGCAAACCGTCAAAGGGTAATCAATCATGCTTGCATGATGAAGAACAGCTAGTTTACAGGCAAACCAGTAAAGGGGTCGTCGAATCTCTCACCTGAGAGGGACCCCATATGGAAGCAAAGACGTCGTCGGGTTGCCGTAGGTCGACTAGGAAGCCTAGGGCGCCATCCTTGATCATTGGATCAAGCGATGAACAACAACATGGAGGTTGGAAGAGAAACTAGGACAAAAAGGACTAATAGATGTAAAAGTGCGATTGGATGTAAAAGTCTAAACATCTCCAAGTCTCTCACGCCAAAAATAGATCCAAAATCATTTTGGAAACCGATCGGTATGGAATAGGATAAGAAAACCGGCCTGGCCGGGCCCCATACCGGTTTGACCAGTTCTCACGGGGGCTGGGCAGCCACAGAGGCAAGCAAACCACCCTGGTGGTTCTGTTGCGTGCCAAGCGCAGAAAATCTTCTGAAATTCGTTTTATTTCATCCGGACTCCAAACGAGGCAATCCATATATGTTTTTCAATCAGCTCGACGAGAAGAACGTAATGGTGTAGTCCAATAAGCTTGGGAAGACTGGCCTGGCCGGTTTGGGTCCAGCTACGTCAACCACCCCTGCCCCGCGAAACACCGTTTCCTTTGTCCGGGCTCCAAACTAGATGATCCAAATGTGCTTTCCGACCATCTCGACGATATAAATTAATATGATGGTGGAGTCCATTATATACTTTGGTCGCTTATGGTTGTCAACATTATCATTCCTTTGTATACTCATGTCGGTGCTCATGCGTATTGCCAGCAGTTTCCTAACAACCGGCCATCAGAGACCTATTCCTAACAATTGTTGGGTCATTCCTAAAGATTTTAGCTGTCAGGGATTTTTTTTAGGCCAGGTCTTGTAGGATGTAAATAAACACTGGAAGCAAGAATCTTTATTCAACCTTCTCGATAGTGTACACAAAAGGATGGGTAAACGTACACATGCTACGCAATATAATACAATACCAATACTCATGGGTGGCTAGCTCATCTAGATCCAGCTAGCTTAGTGCTTAGTATAGAGCGTGACGTTGGTCCATCGCGACTCCATGCAGCTGGACTGGTCGTGGTGCTGCATGTACACCCCGAACTTGAAGTAGAAAGAGTCGCTGGGGATGACGCTGGCGCCGAACTTGCGGCGGCCGTCAACGTACACGGTGACCGTCGACGCGCCCAGGTCGTGCACCACGTTGAGGCGGAACCAGCGGTCGTAGATGCCGGCCTCTATGGCCGTGCCGCTGTAGAAGCGCAGGACGCCGTCGTAGACGTGGAGCATGAGCACCGTGGAGTGCGCCGCGCCTTTCCCGTCGTGGATCTGCATCACCGACACGCCGGAGGTCCCTGACGGAACGTAGCCGTAGCCCTCGAACTGCCACACCCCTGACGAGTAGTCGTGGCCCTGCAGATGAGATCATGCATCGAAGACGACGACAAAGAGGATACATATAGATTATTCGTGTGTGCTGGCGTACGCCAGATTATTTTGAACAACAGGAATTCCATACGGATCGAGCTTTTTTATATGCTTATTACCTTGACCTTCACTTCGGAGCGGGGGTTAGTGTGGGTGGCGGTGTTGAAGGGCTTGTCATTCCGGTACACCCAGAACGTCC